TATGATGAGTGCATGATAACACATCAACATGCAATCTTCAATTAAATATAAACACAACATCACCACAATGTCTCAAAGAAACCAAACAATTTTCGCTTACACTAAGAAACAAGAGAGAGTGCCTCAAACAAGTGACCAAAATATAGAGTCAGAAAATATTATACCAGAAAGGGAGTCAGGACTACTTGATAAGGAATTTAAAGAATGCTATTTAGGAGCTCTGGTAGCGTAGTGGTTACGAATCGGGCTGCAAGCCTTAAGGTCAGTGGTTCGAAACTACCATCCACTCCACGGGAGAAAGATGAGGCTTTCTACTCCCGTAAAGATTTACACCCTCGGAAACCCTGTACAGGGTAGCTATGGGTCGGAACCGACTCGATGGCACTTAACAACAACAACAACAAATTTAGGTACCTTCAATGAATTGAGAGAAAGATTGATAAAAGAAAGGAAGAATTCAGGAAAATAATACAAGAATGAACTGACAATCAGAACTCGACTAGAGGAAGATAAAAAAAATTGTTTTGATAAAGCAAACGAGGGTAATTTGCTACAATTTGATGAAGTTGACCTATACTTATGGATGTAGTAGCTCAAAATACCAACTTAGAGGGAAGAAGTCTTCACATCAAGTATTAATGCTATCCCCTCTATATACAGGGTAGATAGGGACAGGCAACTTAGACATTGGCTACCTAAAATGAGGGGGCAATAAAGGCACGAAGTGAGTGACTGGCTTACAAGTTTTCAAGAGGAGTTTAGTTTAAGAGTATGTGGGTGAGGGGAGATAGAGTCCCCACTGAACAGTTTTCATCTTGTCTAGACAGGTCTGGTGAAAAGAGATAGGGATAAGAGTCTTACGATTCAATAGTGAGTAATTGTTATCATGACTAATTGCAACTATGACAACTGTCAAGGTAGAAGTTTTATAACAAAAATGGGGGAGTATTTAATATTACAGTCCAGAAACAGAGGACCTTAGGACCATTAACGGAGAAGAGCACAAGCGGAGGGCGGGATCCTATCCAGAGATGGAGACACAGATGAGGACATGTGGAGAGAGGGAGCAACTGAGAACTCTGGACTCATGGAAAGAAAGGGACTAGATGCTGGTGGCCAGGAGGCAGGCTTGCAGAAGGTAGCCTTTGGTTGTTTATTGTATATTCCTGAGTGTCCCACGCCCCTCCCCTCATAAAAAACAACAACAAAAAAAAAACATAGGGAATGGAAGCAAATACTGCTGAATGATGATGCACGGAGCAGATTGTAATCACTGCAATGAAACGATGGTGTAAAGCTGATGTTCTCCCATGTAAACTATCACTCAGTTCACAATAAAAACTTAAAAACAACAACAAAAAGAATGAACTGGCAAAATAAATGAAAAATTGGAAACCATACAAAAACAGCAAGTAGAAAGCCCAGAAGATTAATACTAGAATTTCAGAAATACATATTGAAAGGGCAAAATAGAGTTGAATCAATGGAAGGCTGACTCAGTAAGCTTGAAGACAAATCTCTCAATACTCATCTTCGAGAGACTCAATCAGAAAAAAAAATTTTAAACCTGAAGAAAAGTCTAAGATTGGTGTGGGGCACTATCAAAAGAAATAACTTACATGTGATTGGAGTTCCAGAACAGGAAGAGCCAAATAAAACCACAGAGAAAACTGTCCAAGAGTTGCTGAAAGAAAACATTCCTAACATCATGAAAAATAAGAAGACAGCCATTCAAGAAGTTAAATGAACTCCAAACAGGAAGATCCCAAAAGAAAATCACCAAGATACATTATAATCAAACTTTTCAAAACCAAAGACAAGGAAAAAAATCCTGAGGGCAGCTCAAGAGAAAAACAAGTTATCCGCATCACCGATGGGGGGAAGTGGGGTAAAAGCAGCAATGAAGCTGCAAGCTAAGCCCTACAATGTTCAGTGGACTTCTGTGGACCCAGTTGGGGACCTGGTTGGCAAGCAGTGTGAGGAGACCTGGGGACTCTTGGGCCCAGAGTCAGTGGCATGGCCACGGAGGACTCGAGAGGAGAGTGGAGCTACCAGTTGATGGGAAGAGAGGGTATGTGCACAGGAGTGCCCACACTTACAGATGGTACCCACGTGACCTGGACCAGATGACTGGATGATCGGAGCTCAACCAGGAGAAGAAAGAAGAGGGAAAAAGAAAAAAAAAAA